TGTTGGGATTATGGAATGAAAAAATGAATATGATTCTAATTCTTTTCTTAAAAAGGACTTTATTTTATTCCTTTATTGAGAGAAGGTATATGGGCGAAAACGATCGAGCGACCAAACTCTACTGAGAGAGTCCGGTAAGAAAGAACGCTTCTTTTATACCCTTCTTGGGTTCGTCTTATCCACCAATCGGAGACGTTTTATTTGTCGCGTTTCACATTGTATACGTGACGCTGGGATCCCCAAACAGTCAGGGCACGATGTATATCTAATGGTACCGGTGATGATGTATCGCGGTATCTACTATATACAGTTTACATCACCGTCGTTGCTCGCTGACGGAACCGGCAAAAATGTAAACCGATATCTTAGTATCTTAGTACTAAGTAAACTATAGATTAATTTTTGTTCGAGACTAAAATTTCAACAGAAATAAATGTAAATTAACACACACATATACAACAAAAAATTTGTATCAAAGTAAAATACTATGAAAAGAAAACATAATATCTATAAACGTTTATTAATTTATTTGTAAATGTTTTATACTGTGTAGCGCTTTCGTGAAATTTGAAAACGATGGCACTGTTTCATTTCCAAGTACTTTTCTTCTCACAAAAACGAATACAATAATCTTGGCAATCTTTCGAAGCAAAAAAACTACGTGCCGTGCTGTGTAAAAGCCGCGAAAACTGCGGAAACGGTTGGGGGTCACGAGAGGGTGGCAGCCATTGATCTTTTGGTGGACGATAAAAGTAGTAAGCACGCAACACGTGTCATTCGAGAGCAAGAGGTTCGGTCGGACTGGAGATCGTCCTTGACCGTGCAGTGGCTGAAAATCGAGAGCACGTTGTCGATTCCACGTGTACGGTCGAAGGCTGGCCGTGTGAAAGGCGACACCGACGCCTTGTGTTTACGTTCCGAGTGCAGCGAGCAAAATGCCGACACGATTACGGTAATTTCTTCAAAAATGGACAACTCGGAAAGAGGAGATACGATTGCTCGAGCCTCGCGGTTCGTTTTTCTAGTTGTCGACGATCTGTAACTAATAAATTATCGTAAGAAACCCTTTGAGAAGTGCCGTATAATTTCCAAGAACAATTTCTCAATCGTGTCAAATAATTATATAATAAAACAACACGCTGTTCAGAATAATATCTCCGGTAACGTCGTTCGAAAAGCGATCACAGCCGTGGGAATAAAATTGTGCGACAAAGCTACGTGTCGCGCGAAATAATATCTCAAATAATGTCATTTGGAACGTGCACAGGTCTGCGCTGCAACACCGGGCCCGATGCAGCCGGGTGCAACGCGGCGGACACGTGCACGTGAAACGGTAATGCACCGAGGTTGGTGCGCGCCCGAAGGCTGGCCTGCTTTGATAGCGACGCCTCCCATCATCGACGGCATCTGCGACTGCGACTTGGCTTTTCCTCTCGCCCCGCGACGATGCTCGCCGACTTAACGTCGTTCCACGTTCTGGCCTAAGTGCTAGCATATTAATGCGTTCCGGCCGAGCCGGAATCGCATTTTCGAAGATACGGCCGTGCCGGCGGGCACCTTCGTATCGCGCTTTGATGATCGACTGGTCTCTACTATGACGTCAGGTGATGCCTAACATCCGGAACCACTGATTCTCCGATCGGTTTGCCAATACTTGGCCGCAGCACGATACCGGGATCGTGGGTGGTCAAGATTTACCGGGGCCGTGCTAAAATAAATGTGGCTTTAACATCACGATTTTCGGGCGGTAAGGTTAAAGTACCTACCGTGAAACACCCCTCGACTGCGAACCCTTCTCGGAACGGTAGCACAAATAATACAAAAAAAAATAGATAGACCACGTGAAAGTTGATGTAAAAGTTCTATGCATCGGGCATCGTGTTTTATAAACTCGCTCGCGCGAATACTGTTACGTAACGAACAGCTGTAAAAAAATGTTCATTCGAATGCGGGTGTTTCTAAACAAGAATATACTGTTCCATATTGTACGCTTCGATTTTGCAGAGATGTTTTATATTTCGTAACATTTCTCTGACGAATTCTAATGATGAAATAATCCAAAGGGCGACGATAATCGATGGAAGACACCGAGACACTCTTTCTCTTCCATTTCGCGAGCACCAGCCACCTTTGAAATTCTGAACTATTTTTATACTTTGGAGAAGAGGTTGTTGTCGTTGGGTCATCGATTCTGATCAATTTCTTTCCGACAAATTTGAAGGAAAACTAAGTCGAGCCATATTCGTGCCACATGCACGAGTGCGAGTGCATTCGCGAGTGCAAAGATTTCAGTTTCTATTTATCCAGTGTTTGCGGAAATCGTGAAGATCAAACGCAAAATATCTTACGTAACGAGTATCGACGAAAATGGCAAAATATGGATCGATTTATCTTTGTTCCAGACTCATCGGATAAAGCTTAATAAAAATCGATGACCTAACGACTGCAATCTCTACTTATTAGCAAGAAGATCGAATAATTTTCCACGAAAGCACTCGTATAATTTCAGTGATCGTAAAATTAAAAATCTATGATCGGTTATTTCCACTGGTTCCAGTGGCAATGCCCGTGTATTTTCGGTAAAAACGAAATCATTTTACCGTTCGTGCGATGAAAAGCATTATCCTACAAAAATGGATCCGCGAAAAATCGATGGAACTGCTTTAACCTTTGTGAACAAAGTGCAAGGTGCACGTCGATTGTTACTGTGATATTTCGTGAATAGAGTCGAATCGAAGTTGACATTCGAGCAAGAGGAAAGACATGCGAACGATTTACGTTTCGACGAGATTGTCCCGAACTGCGTACAACCCAGCGGAATTCCACAAATGTGTTATTCTTGAAATTGTCCATTACAGGATCGTAAATGAAGCTTTTACAACCTCGTGGCACGTGTAATCGTGGGCTCGAAATCGGTGCGTGTTTTGTTGATCTATTTTAAGTCGTTTATTAACTTCTACGTCAATAAACGAGTATCTACTTTGCACTTGCTGTAAGTTCTCATTGCTCGAATAATTTTACACCGTTTTGTATCTATTTGCGTTATAAAAATATACGCCGGAATGTTTCAGCCAGGAACGCCTCGAACGCGTTGGACATCGTAAAGTGTGTTTGTGGTTATTGACATAAGGTTTATAGCGATGTTTTCACCGATACTGGATGGAGTTAGAAGACGAAATTAGTACGAACGGTACTTCGAAGGTAAAGTTACAGAATGGATAATAGGAAACTTAAGCACCGAGTCATAATGACGTTACAAAGGAATACTGATGAATTTTTTCATTTTTCATTGATTCGATTATGACATATTTCGTACAGAAAGACAGAATTTACTAAAATCTGCAGTGTACCAATTCCAGTCTAGTTTTGTGCTCTATAAAGCTCTGATTTTCATTCTATAAAATAAACGATCTTGCAAATTTCTATTAAATTATTATATTATTTGTAATACAGTAAATTTCGACTACATAAAAATTCACTTTGATTAAAACTACCCTGTTTATATATCACTCGCAATTAATTTCGAGGCAACTCGATATTAATCGAAGATTAACCTCCTACTAATTTATGGAAAAATGATGTCACATTCGTTTGTGTCACGTTTTCAGGATTTTGCTTCATAGTGTAACGATCAATGGTGCCGCCGACTACGTACAAGTGCATCTATCTTTTTTTAATGGTCGAAAGAGTACGCCGGATTATGCGTTAAGTATGTAAACAACGACACACGGCGAAGAGAAGCCTCGATCTTCCATCATCCGATACTCTTTAGGAGAACCTACGACTTCCTTCTCAACGATCAGGCATCAAATAATTCGTACGTTCCGTTTGTGACGTGATCTGATCAATAAAATTCAAAAACGGGAAAGGCAAAATTTAATAACGCCGTTACATTATTTTCAACCTATTCGAAATGTTAAAAATGAAAATAAATTTTTATTTCGCACAAAGATCCGCGGTTTAGTAATTATTAAACGGAGTAGTTCGATCATGTTCATAGAGAGAAAAACGTAAACAACGACTGAGTATTTTCAACGCGCACACCTTTTAGTATCGCGATACTACCCCATTATAATGGGGTAGTATCCGGAGTTGTTAAATTTGAACATTATACAAACTTTACGCAAATGAATAAAAGTTTAACGATGTAAAGTGAACCGAAACTGTGGAAACTCCATCGTGTATGCGATAAAAGAATGACTTTAGTGTGCCTATTTGGAGTGTTTATTTATCTCTAGTTCCAGAAATTTTCTAACAACCTGCATCGCGCGCCATCTTGAACATTTGTATCGTCAAAATAACTCTGATATCTCGTGACCACCGCTTTGCAATGTTCATCATTTTTACACCCGCGCGTTATAATTTTACGAGAAACACTGTACCCTCGAGATTCCACCCGGATCTTGCCAACCCAAGCCGAGCCGGTGTTCTCTAGAACCAGCACATCTCTGTTAAACAGAATTTTCATCTGTGCTAGCTGTGATCGTGACGACGGCCAACGGTTGGCTAAAAATAATTAGGTCCTTGCACATTGAGTGCGAAATATTATAAATCGATAATCAGTTCTACCCACATAAATACCATAGAATTATCCTCGTGGCTGTTGAAATTATGTCGGAGTTCCAACAATTAAATGGAGCAAAAATTAGAACTACTCTATTCGACCCTTTTAGAGGCTTTTTGAACCCTCGGAGCTGACAAGTAGATTTTTCAGATATTCCGAGATGCGGTAACTCGGTTTTTCATTATTCACAATTTTAAACACAATGGCGTTCCATTTTTATAAAAGAAAGAGTTGGGCATATTTTATTCGAATAACGAATAAAATTAAAATATATATAAAATATTCGAAATGTTGTCCGAATAACACCAATAATTTATGCGATGCTTTAGCGCTACTTGCTCGAAAATGTGAAAACGTATCGGAAACAAGGTTTTTTGTAGCCATTGATCAAGCTTTAATCGATGGAAACCCATTCGCTTCCTCTCGTGTGAGACTATATCGCAATAATATCGAGAAGAAAGCGTGAAATTAATTTTGAAGAGAAATTAGTTGAAGGGTTCAAAACGGCTCACCGACTGGTTCATCTTACAAGAGAGCAGAACGATCTGTTTTCGACGAACGGACTTACCCTCTTCGGCTGGCAGCTCTGAAACAGAAAAATAAAGGTAGTTTAGCCGAGGCATTCGAGAAACGATCTGTGAATGAGTCTATTGTTTGGGATAATTCTAGACAGGGGCCACAGGCTCGTGCGTGCGATCCAACGTAAACGCGGCGCGGATCCGAGCGGCGGCATCGCCTTTAAGTTGGCCTAGTTCGGATTGCTGAAGCATCGTGGTGTACCGACATCGAAAACAACGATTTTTCTCGACGATAATAAACGCCCTTAGAACGGTGACGGCTCATTGACGCGTGTCCCCCTGACAGCACGGAGAAAAAAGTGGGCCGCGGCGGAAAACGGGGGGGAAAAAATATATGAAAGCTCGCCGATGATTCGCCGTGCGAAGAAGCGGCACGGATTACCGTACTCGTTCGAATAGCTGAAACTGATGCCTCTCTCATCGGGCACGTGCTGCATTTGACACACTTCTGGGCCCGTGCCGGCCACTCTGCCGCGCCGCGATTCGGTTTGAAAAACCATCGGGGGGGATTTGACGTTTTTCATCGTCCGCTCGTAATTCACTCGGGGCGGTTTTCGCGCGGGCGAAGCCTTGCTACAGTTCCGCGGGAAATGTAGCCTTCGTCGTGCCGTTTTCAAGAGCACATTGTTGTGCGGGATGAGTGATTGGCGCAGCCGATAGCTCCTGCTTCGCTCGAGGATAAAGAACGAGATAGCGGTAGGAAACGAACGGCGGATGTTGAATGATTTTCCGACAGTATCGCGAATTTATCGAAAGGTCGCGCATTCGCATACTTCCAGTGACACCAGAGCCTCTGTACACTTAATTTCGAATTTTTTGACGAATATTATATAGGTTTGCCCGAGAAATTCTTGCCGATTTTCGGTAGACGACGCACAGTGGGGTGGAAACGACAACGTTGCATCGGAATCGAAAGAACTTTTGGTAGAAATGAGATAAAGCGATGCTCTATATTTTTACGTAGAAGCTGAAACGTTATCGAATAAGGGAAAAATACAGAGAATGTGGTATGAACATTTTTTAACCTTGAAAATTTATGTTAAACTTGAAATGTTCCAACACAAAATTGTGATTTATCCAATACCATACACAGTTGGGCTTTTTTTAAAATGAAATGTTATAAATTAAACGCGTTTTTCACAGACGTTAGGTTTTAAGAAACAGTGTGCAAGATATATCGGAATCTAACCAAACGATTTCATAGAAATTCGGTAGATCGTCGATGCACAGAGTGCACTGTGCACTTTTAAAGTTTTCTTTTTGATATTTTGTTGCAACTAATCCTGTTTGGTTGAAATCCTGCACACCGATAGGCAATTAAAAAAAAAAAGTTACGCAAAAAACTGTCGTCGGAAAGTTAAACAAGAGCCTTTCTTTTTTTTTAACATTGCTTTTTTTACTTCGTTATGTGCTAAAATAAACCACAAAAACTTGTGTCAATCAAATACGTACTTTTCTTTATGGTTCGTTGAAACTATTAGCGATCCTTAGACTCGTCAAACGTTCTCCTACCCCCTTAACTAGTATTATATACTTCTAGATAATGGATCGTTAAATGTATTTGCACTTGTTAAAAATAATTATGCACGCCGTTAACGTGATTCCTACTTAATCGAATGCCACGCTAATTTTATATGGCTTGCCAGTATGGTCGACGCGAACTTCTTGCTACGCCTTACATATTATAGTTGAATACTATTTACAATAGGCAAGTTAAAGTGTGAAAAAGTTCGTCATCGTAATTTCCAAACATCCGAATTGTAAATCTAGCCACGTAGATTCAATTATAATATTAGCTCCTCCGCCCACCCTTTATATGCAAACAGCGTAACGCCGAAGCATCGGGAATGGAATTTCTCCGCCCCCGTTTTCGTCACAGACAGCTTGCCTCGATTTCAAAGCGAATTTCTCGAGAAATCTGCCCCCGAGACACGATAAAATCTCAATTCCTTCGGATCCGACGTAAATTGCGGCGGGAAATCAAGTTTGCTTCTCGTTTAGTTTAGAGAAACCGTTCTCTCGTGTCGAAGCTACTGTTCTCGAAACAGATTTCTTTTGTTTGTTGCATCGGCAAATACCAGCCTGTTCGATCGTATCGAAGAAAACGTGTCGCGCGTTACGCCTGTCAAATAATGTTTCCCAGCTCTCAGAAATTTCGGACCGGGCAACCGTGACGCAAACGTGGTTCGTAAACCCGTTGGCAATGTTGCAAAAGAGAGTATGGTCCTTTCGCGAGGCGCAACAGGCAAGAGGAAAGTATTGAAAATATTTTTAGACGGCATTGTTGTTTATTGGCTCGAGTTTTAAATTTGTTCGAATACCCGTGTCGCGATTTCCCCGGGACCGTGCAAAATACACCCGGGCGACACGTTTACATTTGCATCGTGAACATTTCACGCGTGTGGTACATCTCCGCCGATTCAGATTCGAACGTGTATTTCTGAAATGTAGGTTACAGAATGCTAACAAATGCAAGCACCTGATAAAGAATTACGTAAGTTTTGGCAACTGCATTGAACATTTATTTGTGTTTCGAAAATATCGCGCGCGCGCGCGCATTATTATTTATTAACCAGCGATGCGTAATAATAGCTTGCACTACGATTAGCTTGTGCGACGCGCGCGCGCGCGCGCGTGTGTGTGTGTGTGTGTGTGTGTGTGTATGCGTACGTGGATAGGTATTGTGCCCGTGCGAGACCACGAAGCGATGGAATTGCGCCGAAGTACGAACAATGTCCAATAACAAGCCAATTTTCGTAACTTCGCTGCTATGTAATGTTATTACATCACGAGGGAACTCGTTAACATAGCCATACTTTTCTTTATTAACCCCTTGACATATCGTTTTCTTCGCAGTTGCTGCGATTAGACATTTTTCGATCGCAATGATTTCTTAGAAGGACAAGAAAATTGGTGCTTATCGCGCGTCTAAATTTACTCGAATGCTTCAATATCGATGACAAGAGAATATAGAATTTTATCGCATGCTCGATAAGTACGTTGTTAGAAATTTTCACGACGAGTCGGACTCGTCGAAGTGCGGCAAGGGGTTAATCCTACGCTTCTGCCGAACTAAGAGCAAAGTTCGACTCGATCAAGCACTATACGAAACACCGATATATGCAGATCTTATTTGCAAACTCGATGCAACCGTATGCAAGACGCGCGCACGCATGCTTCCTTTAAGAGTTATTAAATCAGCAAATTATGATTCGCTGGGTGAAGAAAGGTCATCGATTTGCAAGCCGCGCGCGCGTCGCGTTTCTTACCGACAAATAGTTAATTGGATTGCCTTTATTTAATTATGCCCACGGGGTGTGAAGTTGAAGAAACGACTGGCGTCGAGGCTGCGTTACGGAGGCACCACCCTTTCGAGAGACGATAGCGTCGCGTCCCGAACGCGTCCCGAACGCGTCCCGAAGTTATTGAAACGATAATTTCTGCGCTAACGAAACCGTCGCGTTCGCTAAAAACAATCGAGAAAAATGGCGACGCGATGCTATTTCGCCGTGAAAGGCGCAGGTTCCATCGACGGCGCAACGACGGGAGTTTTCATACGCCGCAGAAACGAGGCCATCCGCGTGAATTTTTGCACGCCAATTACGGGCCGCGTAACGTGGAATCACGATAATTAAACGTTTCGGGACACGCGCGGCGCATCATTGTCGGCGGCTATATTCGAGCTAACGAATTCCTGGCGCACAAATAGGAAAGCACGGCTCTGCGACGACCAATCAATTACTGTCCGCTACAGATGGACACGGACACGATTCTGCGACGACAGACAATATTAACGTCTCCATCCACAATCTTGACCTATCATTCGCTCGTGCCTTTCGATCGCTAATGATAGAAACGTATTTTTAAGGACTGATGCGGACCGAACAATACCGAGACGAACAACGGATGTTCTCTCGACGTTCCAATCGAGTCGATCGAATCAATTCATAATGGTTTTTCAAATTTTACGTCTCCTTGCGAAAAATTGTGCCAAGGCGTCGAATAATTACTACACATTTTCAAACTGTTTCGCAACAGTCGCGGAAATGTTTCTTTCAATAAACAACTGTGTCGAAATTGTTATCGCTCGATCTCGAGGAATTCGACATTTAAATTGTAATTTAATATGCAGATCCATCGTGCACGAAGTAACAAAACGAAATAATGTAATGAAATATGTAACAAATTACTTTCGATTAAGTAACACTATCGACGAGAGGGAAGTTTGCGGCCGAGATATTGGCAGCCCATTACGAAATAACAGCGCGATAAATGCAATTAGCATTGAACCGTTTATGCAAAACAGTTCCCTATAAATTGGTTCAGATAAATTGGATAAAATGCAAATTCCAATTCAATTTATTCGAATACTTATGCGAACGTTAATCTAAAATCGTTTCAAAAATTGGATCTAAAATAACAAACACGTAGATACGAAACTTTAAACAGACAGTAAATCTTTTCTTCAACGAAATCCTCGACCGTCGTACGATTTTATGAGACAACACAAGTCCACGTTGCTATTTCGGTGCGTTTAAAGTTATTTTTTAAGTTTCATATATTACTTCTCATCTAAATAAATGTTTTAATTATTATCGTTATCATTGCTATTGTTATTGGTACTTTTTGTATTATTATTGTTATTATTACTATTGCTATAACTTTTTATTATCGTTGACGATTATTGTGTCTGTTTTTCTCTTTATTGCCATTTAGTTTATATATATATTATCATTATTATTTTTCCTTTTTCCCATTTATCTTATACGATATTTCTCTTTTTTTCTTTCTTTCCATTGTTTGTAAATCTTCTTAAATTGTGTGTCGTGCAGGACCGACCAAATTTATTTTATTCGTAAGCACGATCTATTTTTGCTGCAAAATTGTTTAGAGGATAATTCTCCAGCTTTCTTCTCGTCTTTCGAATTAAAAAAAAAAAAAAAACAGAAACAATAAAAACAACAAGCAAAGAAAGAGTCTGAAGGAAGAAAAAATAGCAAATGCGAAT